AGGAAAGCTCGATCGCGACGGAGAAAGACGAGATTCAAGGAGACATGGCGATGAGAGTTTGGTCTCTGGAATAGCTTCGCCGGACGGAGAGATTTATCGTCGGCGAAAGAAAACGGGAGGAATGATGGAGACGTAAGGCGTGGTTAGTGGCAACAAAGGAACATATAAATTATTATTCGTTCCATCTTTCTCGGCAATTGGAACACCGGTTATGCCGGTTTCCGGTTCCATTGGGAAAGTAAAAACGTGCTACTTGATTTGTGTTTTTAAACATGGTCAGATTCACAGTACGGTAAAAAGTACTGAAGCATTTCAGAAAATTACTCTCTTAGGCCATCCACATTAGAGACATTTTACCAATGTCTCACAATATAAAAATATTAAAAGCACACTCTCTCTTCCTTTTACTCAACTTTATACCTTTTCATTCATCCTTTTACTCAACTTTATACATTCTCTTTCATCTTTTTACTCAACTTTTATTAATTTTATATTTAAACACACCCCAATTCTCTCTCTCTCTTATGTCTTCCCCAAGACACAATCTCTCCAAAAATACCCACTATCTCTTCTCTTTACTCAAATTTTATTAATTTTATATTTCAATACACCACACTATTTCAACAAAAAACACTCTCTTTCTTCTTTTTACTCAAATTTTAATAATTTTATATTTTGAGACACCCACAAAATATCTCCAATGTGGATGCTCTTATGATTTTTTACCAAAAAAATCATTTTATTTTAACTGAGTTTTAAAATTTCAATGCATAATTCAAAATTGCAAAATTAAAAAAATGTTATTTTTCAAGTGCCACTTTACAAAAATGTCATATTTTTAAAATCTTTATAAAAATAATATTTTTAAAAAATTATTTTTTCTTTATATTATATATGTTTGGGTTAACTATGTTCTATTAGGATTTAGTTATGAGGGTTTAGGGGTCAAAACATTTTATAGTGTTTAGAAATTTGAGATATATAGTTTAAAAATCTATAATTAGTGGCATTTTT